TGGATTTTTAAACCACGAGTGTAACGAGTGGTTTACCATCCACGAGGTGGAATAAAGCGTCCGATTTACACTCAAACGAGTGGAATACAACATTTTATTCTTCGAATTAGAGTCAACAAGGCTTAAACTTGTTTTAAATCTGTTAAAAATAATTTGACGTTTTGTATTGAGAAATACCAAACAGTGTCAAAACTTCCTTACACGGAAGAAAAACCGTAAATTTTGACAGTGTCGAAGAATAAAATCCATTAAAACTCTGAGAAAAAGCAAAAATAATTTCATTTTCGATCTAATTTACTGATTCCAATTTCAGATTCTTTATGGTCAAATTTTCAAAACGTAAAGAAAACAAAAAAACTGTTTTTTTTTTAAATCTTAAATTTTCTACTGAAAAACTTATTTGGAAATCTGTTTTCTAGCCCTCTAAATTTCAGTCCTTAAACTAAAATGTTTTTTTATCTTAAATTTTTCAAGTTCATAGACACAATTCGTTACTAAATTTTAAATTTCGAACCGGTTGTTTGTATCTTTTCTGTAATTCAATCAAACAAAAAATTTTTTTTTTAAATTCCACTAATTCCACTGATCAGAATTGGACCAACAAAAATTATGAAAATTTCTCAATTTGAAATTAGTTTTACACGACATTCTTATTACTAAGTTCAAACTTGTCAATAAAAAACTTATTTTCTCGTAATTTCCCGAATTTCAAACATTTTAAATTCTACGTTAAAACTTCTTATTCTGATTTTGAAGCCAAAAATAAAGTTATTATAATTTATTACGACTATTACAACTAGCGTAATTTTTCATTAAAAATAATAAGTGTCTCGCCATTTTTAACGAACAGAAAACCGGAAATTTTCCTTTTTCGTTTTTTTCAAAGCTTTTAAATTTTTTTATAAAAATAATATTAAACTTTATACGAGTTTAAAATGATTCGAAACCTAATTTTCTCAAATTTTGTTTGTCATTTAAATCAGAATTTGTAAATCTCCCTAAACAAAACCAAAAGAAAAGCGGAAGAATTTGTTAAACGTTTTCAGATTTCTAAACTATTTTCTATTTTTGTGTCAGTGCTTTATGTAATTTTATTTCCATCATCATAACTAGCAGTAAACATGTTTTCATTAAAAATAATAACAGTTTCACGCAATTTCATGAACCGATTTGTCTCACAACAAAAGAATTAAGTGTTATTTTCGCCCCTTAATTAGCAATTCCTCGTTTTAGGCCTCAAATCGAAGCTGAAGAAAGTGTTTCGCACGTCTTCCGGCACCGGCCGCCACGAAGACTCCTTTTCCAGTGCCAGACTAGTCACCCAATTGACTTCGGCCGCCTTATGCGCCAGCTCTCCTGTTCTTCCTACAGCCCCCACAGTCCCCCCAGTGGTCAAATCCCTAATCCGGCCCCTCACCGTCCCCAAACTCCAGATCACTTTAGTCAACAACAACGGCGACTACCCCAACAACAACCTCCCGAATGGGGTGCTGGCCCCAAAACCGCCCCCCGACTCCAAAACACCAATCATCAAACCGACAAGAGCAAAAAAGAAGAAATAACAAAAAAACATTTCTGCAATTGGTTGGCAGAAATGAAGACGAAATGAGAGACTGGTTGTAGGGTTGTAGTTTTACTATTGTGATTGTATAGAGTTTTTTTATTAGCACAATAATCGTAATCTTTATACAGGGTGTTCCGGCTAAACTACACATAGAAGTATTTATTTGTCTTAAATTTTGGATGCAACTATAATTGGGTAAGTCCTACGCAATGAAAATATTTTTAAGATGGTGGCACTTCCGGTTATGCCGGGAGTTCGTTATTTGAAATGACAAGCTATGTTTTTTATTGCGTTTTTGGATCACTCAAGTGATTTTGAGATAGTTTTTATTAACCTTCCCTATACCTAAGTTTTACCGTTTTCGAAATATTTGGAGTTTTTTGATTTTTTTTTGGTTTTGCACCTGCGTCTTCAAAAATTGATAACTTTGCCATTTTTAATTATTTTAACATCGAATTTGGCCATATGAAAGACAAAGGCCAGATCTTTCTTTTGGTATATTCATAATTGAAATAATAGTTAACAAACCCCCGAAATTTGGGGTTAAGTTTGGGAAACTTCAACTTTTCAAATGAAAGACTCTAATTTTTTCTTTACCAAATTAAAGAGACTTTAATTCAGATTTAAGTTCAGATTCTCTATTGCCAAATTTTCAAAACGTAGAAAAAATAAAAAAAACTGTAATTTTTTTTTCAATATCTTGACTTTTTTTACATTTCGAGAAATTTATTACTATTCAATTGTTTTGACATGGAAATATTTCTCACTGAATAAACGACAAGTTTTTTTCAAATTACAAATTAAATTCATTTTATCTAAATTTAAATAAATTTTATTTTCTATTTTTTTATTACCCTAACCAATGAATTTCTCCCAATATCAAAAAAAGTTACTAAAATACTAGGAAATGTTAATACAGACTGAAGTACAATTAAATACTCCTCCATTTAGTAAAAAATAGTGTGTTTAAAAAAAAACAATTTTAGCTAAAAAATTTGGTTAAACACTTAAAAATGGCGAAAAAATGCATTTTCTCGGTAAATTGGTGATTTTTTTGCAAATCACATTCACAGTCAGAATTGTTTAGTAAATTTTAAATTCAGATTTATAAATCGGTAATTAGTGTGATTTTCAAAATTCTTTTTTAAAGTTCAACGAATGAAAATTTTAGATTTTTTAGCTTAGAATTGCCAGTGTTAAGTTTAGAATTTGGCATTAAATTACAAAATTCAATTGTTTTGGTATATATAACCATGGAGATATTTCTCACAGTTTTTTGTTTCACAATTTTGTTATTCTTTTCGTAAATACAAATTAAATTCATTTCATATAAATTTAATTAATTCTTATTTTCAATTTTTTTATTACCCTAACTAATGGATTTCTCCCAATATCAAAAAAAGTTACTAAAATACTAAAAATAGATGTGGGAAATGTTAACACAGATTGAAGTACAATTAAATACTCCTCCATTTAGTAAAAAAACATTTTAGCTAAAAAATTTGGTTAAAAATGGCAAAAAAAATGCATTTTCGTGGTAAATTGGTGATTTTTTTGCAAATCACATTCACAGTCAGAATTTTTTAGTAAACTTTAAATTCAGATTTATAAATCGCTAATTAGTGTAATGAAAATTTTAGATTTTTTAGCTTAGAATTGCCAATGTTAAGTTTAGAATTTGGCATTAAATTACACAATTTTAACAATTTCTTTAATAAATAATAAATACTTGCGTTTGTGACTGAAAAACGCACTAAGATTTTTAATAATGAAACAATTTACATAATTTTTGACTTAATTTAATAATTATACGATCCAATTAAGGTGCGTAATCTCTTAAAAAAAGGCATAAATTTTGTAAAAAAATTGTAATTTGAACAAAATTTCTCCAAAAATTGAATTTTTTGCTCAAAAACTTGCTTAAACGTTTGAAAAGCTTCAAATTAACATCATTTGATAATTTTCTAGTTAATTCTTGATTAAATTTTAAGAAAAAAAAATACGTTTCTAACTAAAACTATTTTTTTTTTACTGAAAAACTGTGTATTTTAATGTCATTTAATTTTGTAATTTGGAATTCTACTTTCTAGGCGTCTAAATTTCAATCCTCAAACTCACAAAAATAAATTTAATGCTGCATCAAGTTATTTTGACTTTTTTTATATTTCGAAAAATTTATTACTATTCATTTGTTTTGGTATAGTTAGCCAAGGAAATATTTCTCACAGAATAAACGACAAGTTTTTTTTCACAATTTTTTTTTCAGTTATAAACCAACAAAAAGAAAGATTGGACCTTTCTCTTGTAAATCCCCAAATACGATTTCATAATAGTTAAAAATTTCAAAAATATAGATTTTTGAAAAAAATACAAACCCAAAAATTTTCAAAAAAGTAAAAAATCTCAAAAAATTAGGTATAGAAAAGTCGATAATAAAACCGGAAGTGGCGCCATCTTGAAAATATTTTCAAAGAGCAATTTTTTTAACGCGGAGTTTAGTCAAAACACCCTGTATGACACCATAACTTGCATAATAAATTAAGTAAATAAATATTGCGAGTTGATTAATTATGAGCTGTTTCGATTTGTGTGCTTGGGCACGTTTCCAAAGCCAATTTGTGAACACAACATGAAATAAATCGAGAAACTCAAAGTTTTATTTATTTAATTTATTGTCAAGGTGGTTTCTGGGTCTAGTTTACGAGATATTAGACAAAATCTACTTGTATTTTGGTGGCAGTTTACACGTTTTATTGGCCTTTAACCATATCGACGTTATGGGATCAAAATCGTAACATTGTCTAGCTTCTAGCCTTCATATTGTGATACGATATTGGCATGTCTTGAATATTATTATTAAATATTAAATAAAGAAAGTTTAGACGACTGAACCTACCACTATACTAGTGCTTGTTAATAATAAAAAAAAATATTCCTTGCTTGTTACCTTTTCAATGTTTATTATTACATATCTGTCAAAATTGTGGTTGTTATTAATGAAAGAATTGTTAGGCAACACGAAGACTAACCCAGAATATTATAGGGCGTATACAGTTTTGATGTTTTTATTATTTTTTTTAATCGATGTACTTATTTAAAAATAAATCTTTGTAAAAACGTGTCCAAAACTCCTCATTTCTCCTCAAAAACATTTTATAGATACCGAAAAAGCCTCAAAAAGTCTTTGTTTTTTGAAAAATCAAATAAACAACTCGAAAAACCAAAAATCCACTACAAAATTTTGAAAGCATGCAAAATAACTAAAAAAAGAGTCATTGAAACAAGCCTAAAATCTTTAAAAAGTTAAGTAAAAAAATTAAAATTTGTCATTTGCCGTCTTTCTTCTCATTTCCCGTTTTTATTTTTGTCTCTCTTAATTTTTT